ACGTCGTGTCAGTATTTTTTATCACTCAGTGCCCCGCGCTGTATAATTGACCCAGGAGTCACAGCCAGAGGTTTCAGTTTGATCCCAGCTGCTCTCAGGTTCATATTTTTATCTCGCTGTCTGCTCCGTCTGCATCGGGAAGTGAGAAACTGAAAACGTGCTAATTGCATTTTTCTTTGTATTTATTTATTTAGAAACAATTGGAAGTCTGCCCTCAGCCTGAAAGTCTAGTTTATATCGAGTTCATGTTTTCTGAGAACGCAGAAAGAAAAGCACAGCGGTGGAGTATGAATGAAAAACAACCACGAGAGGAAGTTGTACTGGAAAATATGAGGCAAATAATAATACATTCTGCTCAAGTAGAAGTAAAATGTATGAAACTATTCAATTAAAATGCCACTCAGTGGAATTAACAGTAAATAAAGCAGCAGAAAAGGTGGAGCTGTGAAGTGGCTGCGATGTTGCTAGGAAACACCAGGAGGTCATTAACGATGCCTTCCTCTTTAACACTCGTCTCAACTCTGCAGCTCGGAGGACGAGTCACATGACATGAAACATGACTTCAGACGTACTCGACTAAAACAAATGATTCTGCTTGACTTTGACGTGTTATTCTTGAAACGGATGAATTGAAATTACTGTTTTACTAAATAGAGTTTTGTTTTGTAAAATTTAGTCTAGATTTTAGAATTACGTTGTTGATGACCAAAAATGTCGGCAACGGTATTCCAGCGTTTAGCGTTTAGTCAGACCCAGGGTTCGGCCTGTCGGTGACTCCACGTGTGTGTTGTTCTGCGGTGATGCATCAGTTCAGGTCTCTTCACTCGTTGCATTCTCAAACAGTTTTAATCTTAACGTCATTTTGTCAAAAGAAAAATACATAAAACTTTGTATCTTGCAACTTGTGAATTTTGCTCCGACAGAAAAATCCTATGAAATAACTGAAATGAAGAAAGCAACATAAGACAAAAGCAATATCAAGGTATTGAATCAATACTCCATATAACTCTGTGTTATTAACACTGTGATTTAAGATTGTAGGACTAATATTACAGTATTGATTCCAATCAGCTTAACGTTTGTAACTTATTTGATATTTATCTCAGACACCAGATTCTTTAAAACTGTATAAAGCACTAAACGTTGTTAGTTTCTTCACCATATCTTTTTTTCTGGAATAAACATCAATTTGATTTCAGAAATATCCGTCACCTCTCGACGCTGTAAATGAGACGTCTGCAGCTCTGACGCCCACAAATTCACTCTTTCAAAAACCTCTCTGGGGATCGTCGCTAACGCAATAACAGAGCTGACAAATTGAGTTCCTTTTATTGCGTCGAACGACAATGGCAGCGAGCGAGCGGGCGAGCGTGTCCTTGAATCGAAGGAATCGCAGGTGTGAGCCTGAGGATGTGAAGGACTCAGGAGAGCGAACCCGACGGCTCCTTATTAATCAACAGCTTGTTGGTTTCTCCACCATCGTCCTCCCCAACATTTGTTTTTCCATTTCACAGCCCCTGCCTCCCAGTCTGGTCAGAAGCTCTGAGCAAATTAATCATCAACACAGGTTGCCTGCTACTTAAGACCTCCCCCACAGACGCTCACAGAGAAACTCAGCATGTAAATCATCAAAAAAAACACTGATTATTGGGAATATTTTCTGTGATTTCAAGTTTTGCCTCGTTACTGAAACATCTCACCTTGTCACAGCTGCAGCAGTGATGCTACTTTATTGGAGGAAATGATGACAACTCAGACCTGCAGGCAGAGAAGTGGACAGACACTCGGGCAGGCAACAGGAAACTAAAACAGGTTAACAAGCCAAGTGACAGGACGGAGAGTTTTGACCCCAGAGGGACTCACACTGAGACACACAGGAGGATTGTGGGAACAGACGGAGGTGAGATCTCTGGTATAAATACGGCAGAGACAATAAGGAACAGGTGTGTAGGTGGGCGGGGACGTTCTCGTGGTTTGGAGCGGTGGCTGCTGGGAGCACGAGGACATCTGGTGCACTGGTGGAGTCATGAAACGCTCAGATTGGAATAAACAAATCACTGAAAATCCAACAATAAACCAGTTTAACATTTCAGGTGAATTATTCCAAGATATAAACTGTGTTGTAATTTAAGGAGGACTGCGTAAATGGCAACTTAAGAAGTGGACATGACAAGAAAGTGTTAATATCCTTAGTGTTTTGTGGAGTTGAAGCCTGATACTTACATTTTAAAGTGTGAACAACAAACGTTTCGCTCTCGTCGCTTGACGCAATGAACCCTGGGATATTTATGGCTGGATGCATGTGTCGGCCACGTTTGAAAGAGCATTTGAGATTTTACTTTCTACTCGTGATGTGACGCAATCAGAGGCGTCCCCTGAAATGGCATGAAGTTGTTTTAGTTTTTCTTTCTCAAATTCTTTCAGTTTCATGGATAGATGAAGATAAAGATTGTTTATTGGTTTATTCTCCACGTACCGTACTCGAGGTCGAGCGAGACGTTTGTTAGAATTGATAAATTAGAAATGTACCAATGCTTCTATATTTAGCTCCAAATTACATCCGAATATTTAGAGGAAATCTAAAACATTGTGTCCGTAAATCAAATTACAGGCCAATTGAATGAAGCTCGATTTAACTGAAAGACTTCAGAGTCGGTTTGTGACACAAGTTCTTGCCTCAACATCTCTCATCTACATGAACGTGCCTCTAAACATGAAGAGTTAGATATCCTGCAGAGAATGAGCAGCTCTCCTCCTGTTGCCAGAGACCCTGGAGCCTCAGTCCCTCAACAAATATGACGAGGGCTGCAGCTGAACATGCTTGTTTTTGTACAATCAGTCGAATGTTTCCATCCTTACTTACTCAAGAGGCCCACGAGGCTCCACCATATAAAAACAGTTAACAGGGCTGCAGCCTCGAGGGCTCACCGCTCTGCAGCCTACACACTCGAGGACAATGGAGCGTTCAAGCTGACCAGAGTCAACAAAGAAAGTCAACAGGGACATAAACCTTGACTCAAAGTTCACATTCTCTGTTCACTACCGTTCTGAAACCTATAAACTGAAATATGAAAATCAAGTGTTTTGTGTTGCAAGTGCAAGTATTGTTATTCTATTTCTGCTTGTTATGTTTATTTGCAATTCAAATAAAAGAGGACACACACGTTTAATTTTCATGAAGGTTGTTTCATTTTAAGAGTACACAGGCGATGGTGCGGATTGTGCCGAGTGGGTGAGCGTGAGGTGGGTTTTGAGAAGCTCTCGCTGAAAATGGTTTACGACTGAAGGTGGTGTGTCTGTGGGAAAGTGCACAGTGGAGTGTGAGAAGAAGAGGGCAGAGGACGGAGGAGCAGGAAGATAAATGTGTTTTCTGGCTGGATGAATAAAAGCAGGGAGATAAAGGGACGTTTGAGAGGAGCAGGGTGAGAGCAAACAGGTTTGTGACAGAGAAGAAGAAAAAAAGGAGAAATGAGAAACTGCAGGAGAAACAAAAGATCTTTATGTCTTTAAGTATTTAACAGGGATCAAGATAATTACTTATTATCCCCAAAAGTAAAAAAAAAGTAAAGTAAAAGTAAAGCCACAGTAGCCCAGTTGCCCCCTGGTGGATGGCTGCAGTATAGGTCATAAATCCCGCCCCTTCACGCTAGCAGATGGGACATGAACCAAACAAAGAAAAAAACTTTAAATACATTTTCTCAAAGATGGTTTGCCTCATTGTTTTTTGTTCTTATCACAATAATGTTAATTTTTCCTGTTTTTGGTTTTAATTATCATTATCGTTGGTCGAGTGTGTCTGTGGGCGGGACCTCGCTACTGCAACTCCACATCCCCCAATCGCTAGTGCACAGACTCTGCTCCAAATGACGTCATGAGCCCAAGATGGCGGCACTCGTATCTGGGATATTATGGCGATATTGTGAGACGTGCATCTCAATCCACAGTCATACAAGAAGTACGCATTCGTGTTGATTGTGTGTCAAAATATAAAACTCTCATGACCTATACGACTCGTGCCGCTGCAGCAATGATAACTTCACATATCCACAGTGTCACCAACATAGTTACCACATCTCTGCTCTGTCATTTATACTCATTGTGATTTCGAAACAGGAACCGTGAGCTCGTCAAACTTTCAAAAGAGAACTGAGAGTTAAAAATAAAAAAATCCCAATGATGAAATCGCTCAGTGAAGTGTGCGGCCACAGCGTCCGCTTCCTAATGCTCTAACCACTATCACTGTTTAACACAGCGGGCACACTTCATATAATGTTCAGGGGATGATGTGCAATCTTACTAATCGTTCCATTAGCTGCTGTGAATATATCAACAGATGTCTCATATCTTCTTTTTACATGACAGGAACATTTTCTGATCTGCAGTTTGTCAGGATCAGGACAAAGAGGTTATGTCTTCAACCCCCCTCAGTTGTTTTTTGTTGGTTGATTTGATTATCAGCAGGATTTACACAAATATAATTACACAACTTGGTGGAAGGACGGGACATGGGGTCAAAAAAGATCCCATTCGATTTAGGATCTGGATGAAGGGGATGCAGGATTTTCAAAAGTTTCACCATTTTCTCATCCGACACATTTAGGAAATGCATGTCTATGAGTGTGTGCAATCGAATGGTACTAATCCATTCGTGTCTTTTAGTGTGGACTGTCGCAGTTGCCCCATAGGATAACATTGGTGGTGCTGCTGCGTCGCTGCTGCTGGCAGAGACGATCGACTGGACTGACTTTTTTAAAGTGCCATTCATTTGCACGCCCACACCTATAAACACAGGGCCCAGGGTGAAAAATAGCAGAATTTGCCTTTAAAGGGACAATCTGTCATTATATCACGGACAATCTAGGAATGAAACAGGTGAACTGGTTGAACATGTAGTTTTTATATACAGAGAAGAGTCATACTCTATCATGTAAAAATCTTATATTTCATACAAGTGCTGCTTTCATATGGATTTTGCATCAACATAAACAAACAGGCTCCACTCAGACTCCAACTTTCGTGGTTTCTCAGGCATGACACACTCCTGTGTTAAAAACTGTCCAGTGCTTTGAGTATTGCTGGAAAACAATAATTTCCTACTGCAGACGACGACGACGACGTGTCCTTAAATGTTTACAGAACACAAAGAGAAACACAAATCACTCGTAATGTCCCACATTTGTGAAAAAAAAAACCAAAAAAACGATTCAGTTGGGAAAAGTAAACCAGTGAAACTCCTGCAAACAACAGTTCCACTAAAAATAGTCGCCGGTAAAAACTGAATCACAGCACAGGAAGGGTGGAACGATTTTTCCTCTGTATTTATTCAGCAGTGATGAATGAGCTCAGCAGGAAAAAAAACATTCCCATCTTCGAAGACACGAATTTACGATGGGTTTAATTACCGCCACATTTCATTTAAAAACCCAGACCGGGTGGTTTACCATAATAAAGGTATTCAATTAGTTTTCAGTGCTGCAGCAGAGCAACTGTACGAAACAAATGGACTGACGTGGAATTGATTTGTAAGAATTGCCCCTGAGCACTGCTGCATAAAATGTCAGAGGAAAACCGTGCGTGCTTCACCGCCTGCTGCTCTCAGTATGTGCGGACTGCTGGTTTGCTGTCCTGGGCCTGGTTGAAGGGATTGGCCGGGTTGGAGGACTCGTCCTGCTGGTCGATGGACTGGTAGGCGTCTCTGTTCCGTGATACAGAGGGAAAACCTGCAGAGATAAACCAGAAGCCTTCAAACACACACACACACACACACACTCAATGTTTGATGTCATGTAATCAAGGCTCTTGATTTGAAGGTTTTGTAAAGAAAAGATCTTTGAAAAGTTTCTACACAACTTCCTCAGTTTTCCTCACTCACACATTCATGACACAGTTGTGCAGATTTACTATCCTGAGCCTGTGGTCCCTTCTGGATTAATATGGATTACGATGCAGGAAACAGTCAATCACACTCTGCTGATGACACGAAACGTCTCGAACTGTTCACACTGAAAACCTGCGCACACGTTCCTAACTAACGATTCATGTCAGGATTCTGTGGAGATCGTACGATGTTATAATCCGTCTGTTACGTCTTATAACAGCTCAGACTCTGAGATGGTCGGAATAACCACGACGTGTGTTTGGATGTTCAAACACTCTGATTCAGTTAATTACTTTCATTGCAGAGATTTGATAATCCTCAGGAATTTTATTAAAGGAGACGTATGATGCTTTTTCTGTTTTTCTTCTCTGTCTGTTACGTTTTTCTAATTTATTTTTTTTATTGTAAAAAAGTCTGCAGCGATACTTCGGCCGATACTTCCTCATGTCACATCGGTTACTCTGGCACGCCCGCTAACAAATCCAGGTAAACAGAACCTGCCAATGCTAGAAGCTGTTGACCAATCACAAAAGTCTGCGTCAGTGATTTCAGACAGAGGCTGAAAAGAGGAGCTGCAGCAATGCATGAGGAATGTTTTCTGAAGTTTGGAGCATGTAAACATTTTCATGCAATTAGCCAAATTAAAAAATTAACCTGAATTTTCTCTTTGAATGCAAACTTGATTGATCGAGTAATAATTTAAATTTTTTTGTATTAGTGGTTGGATGAGAAAACCTGCAATCCTCTGTCTTGCACATAAAACCATGTTGCATTCATTGTCTATTATGAGTCGACAATATGTTGACTTTAATTAGGCTGATTTGAGAATGTGCACCGTCATGCAGCTCTGCTTTAAATACATGCAAACACAAACGCTAATGAGGCGTCTGGAGAGGGAATAAAATGAATAAAACATTGATTCCAGAAACATATCAACATATAATGGAATAGACATGAATACAAATACAGTGAAACACAGCCGCGAGGACAGATATTGGAAGGTAATGAAGACAGAACAGACAAAGAGAAAGAAGAGAGTCTTTTTCTTTTTGGTCCAGCAGCTTTGAGATCTTACTTCCTGTGTGGAAGGGGATGGAAGAGGATGATTGGAGGAGAGAAATGGTAAAAAGGGAGCCGGGAATCAATAGCGGCGGCCAATAAAGAAACTGTCAGCACTGTCCGTAGTGCAGCGACTGTCCACAGAAGTCTCTAAGTCTGAGAGGTCAAAGGTCAGCAGCGGAGGAGGAGGGAAGAGAAGAGACAAAAAGGATCAAATCACAACAGGAAGAACACGAGACAACACAAGAAAACATGACAGTGCAGTGTGACAAACACCGAGACGGACTGTGAGGGTAGAAATCATAAATCATAACGAGCCAGAAAACAAGATTACACTCGAATCGACTGTGTGACCACGGACCAGCTGAAAACAGGGAGCGCTGGAGACCTGAATCCACATTTCACCTGATCGCCTGCATCCCAGTGAGCTGAGTGCAGCAGGGAAACCTCGGTAATACCAGCGACGCAGTCAGACAGAGATTAGAACACACGTTGTATGTCACTAACTTCAGCTGCAGTTAATCGGTCACTGCACAATCACAGTCTGATGCATCAACCTGCTGAGTCTCTGTGGCGGTAAAGTAAAACCACAGAGAACAGATTCATTCAATTATCTTCCAAATGTCTGAATCAGGGGACGTAGTTTTTCAGCTGCAGGGTTGGAATCTGATGACATTTTAAAATGTGCAGTGTAATAGATTACATCATGCTCGCAGAGCGACTTCTTTTAAATCTCTTCTTCAAACCCATTTTTATAGACTTTCCTGTCATGACGTCATTTTTTTAAAATCATTTTCTCATCAGGCTTTTTTAAAATTTATTTATTCATATTGTTTTTCATATTTATTCATTTGATTGAAGGACCTCAACGTTATGATCCGGCTTCTGACGATTGTTGTTTTTCTTATTTTTGCTTTAAAACACTTTAAAAGTGCTGTATAGATAAAGTTTATCTTTACTACTCTTATTATATTATTCTTAACTCAACATGCTGCAAAAACAGCAAAGGAAGGATGACCATGAAACCTGGTGGAGGGATGTGGTGAGAGTCCGGGAGGAACACATTAAAAAAAAATTGTTTTACTTTCTTCAACATTTGCGAGATTCTTTTCAATGTTTTTCGACATTTTCTTTGATTTCTCCGAGAATATTTCATGATTCCTGATGAAAATCACGGCGCATCTTCAGGGGACTGATATTAACGAGTGTGTGTCTGAATAAAATCTGGTTTGGGTGAATTTAAATATGGTTTGATAACGTAGAGGACAAGCTCACTACCCCCTGCGTGGAACCGCTCTGAATGAAAATCAGTTGAGTTCATGACTGTAAACACACACAGTAAATCTGTGGAGCTGAATCCATGAGCATGAGGATTTAAGAGTCAGACTGGAATTGCAGCTCTGTGGGATTTGTGATAGAAAAACTCTCAGTGGTCCGCAAATCAATGGCCACACGCAGTTAATCAAAGAACATCATCTTCAGAGTCTCCTGACGTCTCAGCGGAGGACGAGTTCTTATCATTTGTTGGCTCACGAGGAGAGAGACCGGCCCAGTGGTCAATAACAACATCTTCATTTCTCCAGACTCATCTCTGCTCCTTCGCACATCTGTCCTGAGCAATTTTTTTCCCATCATGCTTTTCAGATAATGTTTTTTCAGCCTCCATGCGTTTAATGTGCTCCTTCACGCAACGTAAACTGGTGAGCAGGATGACACAGATATTACAAACAGCTCACGGAGAATCGATGTCCTCGCCCGGCCGAACCGTGGCTCGGACATTTAAAGTCTTGTGACTGTAGCTAATGAGTGTTACTGCGGGTGGTTTAGCACCAGTGGTTTAGCACAGAGTCTTTCCCAGTCAGCACTGCACTTGGCAGGAAGCGACAAACAGCATGAAACAACACAGCGAGGACCTCAAAGCGCCCCCTGGACTCATGCGTCTCGTTGCACCTCAAGCTTTGGCCGCGCTCGGGGCTGTGGGTGTTTTTTCCTTGGGAAGTAGAAAAACCTCATATCTCGGATAATTTCTCGCTGGTTGTGAAATTTTTACCAGAATCCGAAGTTGATGGATGAAACCTTGTCGTGTTATGTAATGTGACATTTCTTCCTGTCGATATGTGTCAACTACTCACAGATTTTAAAGTCATGGGAGACGACAGACATAACGACAGGTGGAGCAGATATTCATCCTTGATCTGCCTCAGATCTGAATTGGACCTGAAATCAGCCCAATTATCCTTCAGTGACATTCTTCAAAAATCTACAGACTTCCAATACTGTACTTGACTGGTGTCACTCACCGAAGTTGACGTTGTAATCTCCTCCACGCTCGCGGTACATTTGGTAAACGAAGAAGCAGGACACGGGTTTGAGCAGCAGGTTGAGAATGGCCATTCCTGCGCTGAAGTGGAACACTCCCTTCGCCCGAGCCGGTGCCAACTCGTTCAGCTCGTAATAAATCCCAAAGTGGATGATGTCGGTCAATATTGTCAGAATCATCCCGACCAGAAACTACAGAGAAACAGAGACAGAGCCTTGATGCAGAATACTGTGTGTTCCTGTGTTCTATACTAAAGAAAATTGCTTTAATAAAGGAAATTAGATAAAAATCTAACTGAGAGTCACGATGCAAGAGAACATAAGAACCGTAATTATTCACCTAGAGGAACTAATCACCGCCTCATGGTTTTAGGTCGTTAACAACCAATCAAAATGCGGGAAATGTGATCAGTCTCCTCTTTTGTTCCTCTGGTGCTTAATAATCACGAGAAAGGTCACACTGAAGGCGACCTCTGACCTTTTGGATATAAAATCACTTGATTATTTGAATCAGAATCTACTAATACTCAAAGCAGAACAGACGTGTAGCAGAATTGAGATGTTATCTTTTCTCAACGAGGCGTCAGTTTACAAACTAAGCCTCCTTTGTTTTTCTCTTCCGGCACCGCTGGTCAGGGGTCAGTGAAACGAGACAATTAGCACTTTGCGTCTTCTGGCCTTTAAATAAAACCCCATCAAAAAAAGTGTAACTCCAATTTAAGGCTAGAAGTAAAAATCACTCTTGTAAAACCAGCCTCTCTGTGAACTAATGCAGGCGCCACGACTGTTCTGTGAGCTGAAGTAAAGGGAGGCCATCTTTCTCAGAGGGACGCTCGCAGGTTGCCCTAGATTCCGCAGACAAATAGGTTAGCACGGATACGCAGTGCAGTGCCTATAGTTAGACTCTGGTACGTGTCACATGATGTTAAGATTACAGAGCACCGTGTGAAGGCAAACTCTCACCATGAGCACAGCGTCGATGGAGTCCCTCTGTGCAATGGCCCAGACGCCCACCGCTAAAACGCTGAAGTTCCCCCAGGGGAAGGAGCTGGGAAGCCACGCCATGCAACCCCTGCAGGACAGACACGATTCTTACCAGGAGTTTACAGAGTGGTGTGTGTGTGTGGGTGTGTGTGTGTG